GTTTTTGCGTACATGGACCCTAACAACTCCAGGGCAGCCCTCGACTTCACGCGGCTGAAGTGCTACACAGAAGGAGAACTAACTATGCCCAATGCAAAGGTTATGCAACTTTTTGAGACTTGTGAAAAAGTGTTCCTTGCCAACCGAGAAGCACTGCGCAAGCCGGGAAGTACAGACATCCTGTTCAGGAAGATGACTGCAGCTTCGGATTTTATTGATTTCCCCAGTTGCCATGGAGCAAAACAAAGCCTCACCAGGAGGTTTGTGGTACTCAGGATTCGAATCCATTTGAACGAAGCCAGTCGGCTACAAAGAGCGAAAGAAAAGTCCAAGCTTGAATCGCGGAAGTTTGCAAACGCATCAACGCCAAAGAAGTAATTTTTAAAGGGTAGGGAAGTGGATCTTCGTCTGGTTGCATATGTCGAGTTTTTCTTTTTTTTTAATATGAGCCGTACGCAGAAACAGAAACTACATAAAGTTTGTTTTCTGAAATAGAGTAAATCTGGGTTAACATTGTTTATAAAAGCTATCGAACATAAATCGGTCATTTTATGCGACTTGACCAGTGAACAGGCGGTTGTGATACAGGGTTCAACGCTTGATGAACAAACAACCGTCAGCTGTATTCCTTGTATTGTGTTTTGTTTCTTTTCTTTGTATAATTTATTTGTTTATACCCGAGAGAGTCGTAATGTTTGTTCCTTCTCTCTATATAATGTATGTTTTTAACCACAGTTTCTTGTACTCTGTTAAGTAATTTTTTCTTTCTTCTGCATAATGTATTGGTTTTTAACCACGAGTGTTGTATTTTTTATATAAAAAGTATTTAAATACCCTATGAATCTATGATCGAAATGTCATTTTTTTAAATCCTGGATGTCTATGAAATCGGATTTCTCGGGGATCATCATTGATTCCTGAGCCATTTGACCCATTTCGATAACTTATTTCCGAATCTTTCTTTTTATATTTAGCTTTTAACCACAGTTGTTGCACTATGTGAAGTAATTTGTTTCTTTCTTCTGTATGATGTATTGGTTTTTAAACTCGACTTTGTATTATATCAGGTATTTAAATTCCCTGTAAATCTAGGATTGAAATTTCATTTTTTTTAAATTATGTAAATGTATTAAAATGCATTTCTCTCGGATTATCATTGATTCCTGAGACATCTCCATAACTTGCCCCCTAATTTTTCTTTTTTATATATATACTCATACCTTAAGCTTGGGTATCTCTTTGTTTCTCGAAAGTAGCAATGGCGACATGAACTCACTGCTTTGGAATGCGCCTCTAACCAGCGCTGGATCGTACAACGAAAGCACGTTTCAAGTCACGATAGCGCGCTGCAGCCTTTTATGCCTTGTCAGCTTCTCTGGAGCAATTATTCTGTAAATGTTGTGCAACGCTGTCACAGATAGAAACTTAGAAAGCTGCAGTCGCCTAGAAAAAGCACGGCGGAAAATCATGATTTTTCCGCCGTATTCCGCACAACGGTGCGCAAACCTTGTGATGTGGTAAACAGTCGGAGAGCGATTCAGACAGTCAAACTTGCCCACTGAAAAATGCGCACTAGGCAGCTGAGCTGTGTCGGACGTCGAGGTTTTTTGAGTGATTCCCCATTAATAAATGAGTGCCGTTCGTAAATGAGCGGCTTGTTAAATGTTTTTTTTGCTAATTCTTACATGAATAAAGCACCGATTCACAAAATGCTTGTTTTCCGAATCTATCCTTACGCCAACAAAAGCGCGAACGGCAAAACCTACACGCCTATACATCGCACGTCAATGGGGACCCACTCGCCGGGAGGCACATCATGGCGGGAGCGGAACTTGCTGAATCCGCTAAACCTAGCGGGCCGTAAGCCCCTCCGATCCGCCAAACTCTCCCAGTATAAAAGGCTCTGGCTCATAGTAACGTACTCCATTCAACTCCATGCATTTGAAGACACCGTCGGCCGCCATTTTCACATAAACAAAACAATTAAGAAAATCAATCGTACTTTCTATTAGGACAACGATCGGTTTGAAACTTTGGAATTTGGTTCGGCCCGCTAGCGCTACATTTGGCCTGAGAATGATCATTCGACAATACGTATATTTTCAGTAAAATACTTGGTTTTCGCTCACCAGAGGTCTCACCTTTTAGCCTTTCCACTTTTGTGAAGAAGGAAGACCAGGGAAGCTGTACTATGGTGGGAATGAAGTAGTGGCTGGCCGCAAGTCGCCAAGCCGGAGTGGAAAGGCTCGAAAGGTTGCGCGATTTATGAGCGACGGCGGCAAGCGGCGAACCGGCAAACACGACACTCTGGACAGCTACCGCCCTCTATGAGCGACGGCGGCAACCAGAGTTTTTTGTCGACATTTCTTTGCGGTGGACACGATCCTGGGGGAAACTAGCCCTTAACATCTCCGCTGTAAAAACACGACAAAAATAGACTGATGTCACCCAGTGAACTGAGTAGGCGCGCGCCTTCCGGACGTTGTGCCGCTTAATGCAAATTGGGTCATCGCTTTCCGGTATCCCGGCAACATAGGGTTGTGGTGCGCGTACATAATCGTATACTTTCCTATGGGACGCTTCGGCATCAACTTGGGTTCTATACGACAAGACTTCATAAGATTGTATTGTTTGTGATGCCTTAGTTTGTCAGCGAGAGCAGAAAAGCTGTTCCAGTAGTCTTATTTCTTTAGCATGGCTTTGTCGTCTGCTTTTTCGTCTTTGTGAACACATGAACCCATCGCGTTCACATGGTCCTGCCACTGCGGCGACGAGAAAACTGCGATGCCACTACTCGAGCACTTCGTTTGCTCGGACGTCTCAATGAATTTAGAAACAAGCGAACATCTAATTTAATGGCAAAGAACTTAAAACTTCGAGGGACCATCGGCTCGGTATAGCACCGAGGAACAGCATCATCTATTGCGATGGAAAACTGAGCTGAGCTTGGTAGTGCTCAGGCTTGTGCACACCATTTAATCGTCAATGAAGTAAGAAGAGCTAAATATACTTTGTCGAGGAGCGATAGTTTTTTAAAAGTCGTTTCAATCTCGTTAACAGCCTGTCAGACAGGGTACGGAGGAGCTGTGGAGAAACGCCTGCATACACAGAAGAAACGATCTACATAGAGCAAGAAACGGTATACGTATAGTATACATAAAGTAATAGAGCAAACTTACATATAATGCACTTATTGCAAAAAAGTGCTAAGAATAATAGGTAACGTTTCCTACATACATCATACGCATTTACTGTTCAAATCATACAAGATTATCAATATACACCAAATCTATAACTATCGTTTGACGATGGCGTATAAATATGCGGCATTAGGACGCTCAAATATAATTCTTCAACTGTCTGATTTAAAAGAAAAACAGCGATTATTATTCATCAAGAGATCACCAGCCCTGGCAAGTTCCGAAATGTAAGACCAACTATGGAAAACAAAAAAATAAGTTATGTTTTACCATCTATTCTGAACAAATATTTTGTTAAAAACATACATATTGTGCTATTGTCAAACAGCCATATATTCCATTTGTTCATTTGATTTTCTCTTTTTTGACCACTGTATTATATGTACCCCGTCGTAGCTGCTGAATGGGGGTCCCGGAGCCTGGTCAAGCTGCATTTCTGCAGCTTTTTCTCCGGCCTCCCATTTACCACATTTACCATGCTTTACGCGCAGTAACAACTCGCATCTGTCAAAAAGGAGCAACGATGCCAGATGCCTGAAAACTCTCGATGGAGTGTAGGTTTCGTACACAGTTTCTACTCAGTTTTATTTTGCCTACGCAAGCTCCCAACTCCAACGGTTGCCCGACGGGGGAAGCTTGCTTTCTGCGGTCTTGATTGGTGTTAATGCAGAATGAATGAGTAGCCCCCGCCAAAATCAAGTTGGAATAATAGGCTACCACAAGGTTCATTTTCTACCTTTTTGGAGGTAAGTGTTGCAATTCTAAATTACATTATAGGGTTTTTTCGCGTTTTCTTTGACACAAAAATGAAGACTGCTCTGTAAAAGTCGTTTTATTTCAAGCGATGCATAACGGGAATCGTTGCTCTTTTTTTAGTGATGGTTCTGATCCTTTGAAGCACAATTGTGCTTAAAACATGTCGCCGCAACCATAGTGATAACCACCAAAATACATCAAGCAAAACGTGTCATAAAAATGGCCGCCGCAAAGCAGTGCTGAGGTTCCGATTGAGGTGGGCCAACGGATAGACCGCTACGGAGCGAGTGCCCATGGAGATTCCAACGTACGGAACACTTCGGCACGCCATCTCTCGTGCCCTATAATGTTACGCTTAGCTAACGTGCAATGGGGTGGATATATATATTAAAAAATTCGAGAAACGCTTCATTTTTTTGCCGCTCTGTCTGGCCTTTCTTAGTCATTTTCCTCGGGGGACATCTTTCTCTCGCGAAGACATAAAACACCTGATGCTGTTATTGAACCACCCTGGCACACAACGAATGACGCCATCCATTGAAAACCGTGAGTATAAACACCCGAATAAAAGTCTCGTGCTATAACCCGAACATTTCCAAACGCCGGACGTACAACGTGCATTGATGCGCCACCGGAAAACCGGGGAGAGCTACAGGTACCAGAATGCACCACGGCAGCGGCGGCGACGCGCAAATCCTGGTGAGATTGGTCTATTGTTTTTGAGACACACTGTACATAACCTACAATGCTATAAATGAGCCCCACACGTCGGGTTTTGGTTTCCTCAATTGAGGAAACCAAAACCCGATGTGTGGGGCTCATTTATATCACTTCCACTCGTTAATTAACGAGTGGAAGTGACAGTTACCGATAGTTACCGAGCATCTAACCACTGTTTCGCATCCGATAAAAGTGCGTAAAAATCCTTTGCATAATAGGCCACGCCCTGTATTTCTCTTTATCTTCAGGGCTGTCCACTTCGTTCTTCGGCGCTCTCATCGAAGAATCTTCGATAGTCACTCGGCCGATAATCAAACGGCGCGGTTGTTTTGGATCAAACAATTTATTGCTGCTGCGCCGGTAACCATGAGACTGCAACTTTATTTGCCGTAATTTACGTCCGTATTGTTTAACAATCACTTGATTCGGCGGATGTGACTTTGAATACTTCCGTGGGTTGTTGTTATCACCCTATTGGTTTAACCTTATTACGGCCGCTCTTGGTACAAGTGTGGCACGCAGTCTCTAGGTCTGCTCTAGTGGTTAGTCGGTCACGACCACAATGGCTATCCTAGTCATTCAACTAGCCACAGAAGAAATATGACTCCCTGATCTTCTTTGGTTGTGGCGCTTTGGAAATTGTGGAATGACAAGGTGTCCGCGTCAATGTGAATGCACGTAGTCTCTTTTAAAAGTAATGTTGCTTATGAGTTAAGCCAAGTATGAGTATTGAACAATGATAATGATGTAAAAATACGTTCACCTCTAAAGAAATATGTAGCGATAGTCATTCTGTATAGACTAAACAAAATTAATCACTTTAAAAAAGCAAAAAAAAAAAAAATTCTTAATGTGTTAAAGCGATTGTTCCTGACATTTACAGTGATTTGAAATAGAGTAATACTAAAACATTGATGACTGAGAATAGATGACTCAATCGCCTGGATTCTCATGATTTCGCGTCGGGGTCGTCTCCTAAAGGTTTCAACTCTTTCGATTTTTCCTCCTTTGTGTCGTAGCCCTTGCGGTCCTTCACCCTGAAAAAAGAAATGAAGCGACACTTTAAACTCCACATTTAGCCCTTTTGTTTGTGATCCAGATTCAGAAGCTTGTCATATAAAATTCGGCCTAAATTTTCCGCAATATCATGGCCAAGGCAGTGGTTACAAGGGTGCGTTATTGCTCTGTTTTTGTTTTGTTTTAAAACTAACATTTTGCGTTTATTAGGATCAAGGCATGAGCGATTCGTCGACGCTTGGTTGCCGGGATCCATCTGCAATGTACCTTTTTCACAGAAATACAGCATAGCGGCAGACGTCAAAACTTACCTGTTGGGGCATTTGTGATCAGGTTGTTCGAAAGAGCATCTCTAGCGTACGAGCCAGCGTAGAACACGAAGTTTGAGTCTCTGGCGATCGCACAGCTCACCTTTTACAAACTTTTCCTCTAGCCTTGCTATGTGCAGAGAAGCGAAGGGAGAGCAGACGACGGGGGACATCAGAACGCCGAGCTCTGGTTGGAACGAATAAAGCCTAGACCTGAAGCTGTGGTCCTTTGTCTCCGCTTCACTCGTCGAAAGCGTGGGAACGCGGAACGCTGGCGTCCGACGTTTCACTTTCGCTTTCGAATTTGTTTGACGAGTGAAGTGGAGATGAAGGCAGCCTTTCCCTCCACTTCACTCGTCGAACGCGTTAAAACGCGGAACGCTGGCGTCAGGCGTTTGGCTCTCGCATTCGAACGCGTTCGACACGTGCAGTGGAGGCAACGACAGCTGGCTTTAGGGCTACCCACTGGTCATTCCAACAAGAGCTCGGCGTTCTGATGTCCCCGTGCACTCTCGTGTCCTTCTCTCACTCAATTCCTCGAGGCATTTCGCGTTTCCTCGTTTCCTCCGAAGCACGCGCTCGTACTCGTTCCCTCACCTCCTGCAGTCTTTAAATAGATCTGCGAGCGAGCTTTCGTTGCCTTCTGGCATTTCAAACTCGCCTTTATTGTGTGCGTTGTTGGTGCAGTTAGTGCAACTCACAATCGGAGGGACTCCAGTTCGATACCGAGCCCTTCCACGCTTTCTTCGGTGCATTTTTTTAAACTGGTGAATGTTTGTGTGACGCGCCTAAGATACAGGAATGAGTTCCAGAAATTTGCTTAGAGTCAGAAATTCAAAAGAAAGAAAGAATTGTGTGAGCCCAGATATGTGAAGCAATTGCAAAGGTGTGCCGATTGCGTCCCTGTCTCGATTTGTCGTTGGTCTTAAAAGTATATTAACTCTGAAGATCCCCATGCACTTCCACATTGCTCGATCGGTGAGCAGAGAACAAGTGCTGATCATAGGCCCTCTTGATTTTTAACGTGAAAGTCTAGCGTACCGGTCGGCCGGGATGGCATTATTCGGGTTTGCGATTCGTTGCTAATATTTTATGTAGTACGGCACTGCGTTGTTACAGGATGCCAAGTTATAATGAAACAATTAGTGCCTAATAGATCCCTCTCGTTTTCAACCATCAAGGACTGCAGAACTATTCCCGCCTGGATCAGTAGGAGCTCGGCGATTTGCTCAGACGAAGTGCAAAAAGAAGACGCACGGGAGTTTTGGCCCATGTAGACACACTCATATTACTGAAAGGTTCAAGATTTGTTTAAAAACACGCAGTGTTTTAGTGTATGTAAAGGATCAGTATAAAGTTGCTTTACTATTTCTTTCATTCTTAACTTGCAACTTGAAGAAGTACATGGGATTTTGAGAGTGTTCGTTTCAAGTTGAGGAATTTCAGAAACTTCGTAGTTTTTGCCTTTTGTACTTAGCGCGACAGTGCTATAGCGAACAAGCAATCGCCAGTGTTTTAGTCTTTTTCTTGCAGTCTGAAGACTGTCGCACAAACTATTAATGTGATGGAAAGCGATAATTCGAAGCACTAAACTAAGCGGTACGCTTTCGTTCCCTGCCCTTTTAAAGTCATATGCAAAAAATGGGCGATGTGTTTTCGCTTAGAGTACTGCTCACACGTAATTATACATGACCAAGGAAAATTCCTCTTAAGTCGAGGGTCAACCCTTTGGATGTGGTGCAAGGGGCTGTCGAGGAAAGTGTACTCGTACATCGCGCTACATCAATAAGTTAACGTTTTGTCTGTTAGAGCGCAGCTCTTAGGACGCCCGTTTCCGGCTTGAGGGGCGTCGCCGTCGGCGTAACCGCGCGGTGCATTATGGGATGCGCGACGTCACTGGTGACGTCACTGATGATGTCATCAGTGACGATGCCGATGACGTCATCAATGACGATCCGATGCCGATGATCATCAGTGACGTCACTGATGGCGTCATTAGTGGCGACGACGATGCCGATGACTTCATCAATGATGATGACGTTATCAGTGACGTCACTGGTGACGCCATCAGTGACGATGACGACGACGTAATCATGATTGCGTCACTGATGACGTAATCACAATGACGATGACGGTGACGTCATCATGATGACGTCAGACTACTGAAGACGTCACTGCTGACGTCATCACGTAGACGATAACGTCATCGTGATAACGTCATCGCCATCGTCACACGACCTAACAGGGGTCAAGTGACCCCGTGAGGTCACGTGACCCTCGTGAGTTGACGGCGACGCCGCTCGTAGGGAGGAATAGCAGGCAGGATGAGGAGGAGAAAAGAGGGGTATGCGCTCCCCTTAGTACCCTTCCCTCCTCCTCCTCAAGAGCTGCGCTCTAATTCGGTGTTACAGGAAGTTGTAAACGGCTTTCATTTTTTTTAAGCAAACGTTAATGCACAACGGCAAAGCGAGTGAAATGCGACTTTCATTTACGACTTATTTTATTCAGTAATAGGCATTGAACACAAGTCATAAAAAATAAACGTAGGCAGTTTGTTCTTGTATCCGCTCTACTTTATTCAAAGAGCTCATTTGTACTTATGTTAGGGTCTGTAATCAAGAAGTTTCGAATCTCTCAGTGGCTGTGGTTGCGTGAACTATAGCGTTGGATTGCACTGAAATACTCCGGTCGTAAAGTTATGTCGGTTCCTGGAAAACAGACCCTGGGTTTGTATTTTCCGTAAGCTCAGAAGCTAGCGAAACTAACTCGTTCATAGGTTTCAGTAATCACATCGTTTCTCGTTTTCACCTCAAGAACTGTAGCATAAAGTAGTCCAGCTTGTCGCGGAGCATTACACTTTTCCTCCTTTATGTAGAGAATTGAGGTATGCTTAGGTGCATTTTAGGTTAGATGTACGTTATACTATCAATACGTACACGTTTCAAACGCAAAAAGCATGGCTTGTTCTTTGACAACCAAATATTTTAAGAACTGCTTCGCGCGGCGTAGGAAGTACGTGCGCGAGAAGTGCGCCCTAGAAATGCCCCAGACTCGTGTTTTTAAGTTTCAGAGGCGCACCGGCACGACCAAAATGTCACAAGTGAAGTCCTTTCGATTATTTCGAGACGAAGGACGCCCCCGACGCCGCCGAGCGTCGGTGATCGCAGCTAACCAGTCGATGCACGCCTAATTCGATGTGCTGCCGACAGATAGCGCAACGCGACAAACGCGAAGATGCCGCGCCAACGGCTTCTTGGCCGGCCATCTCCGTACAACGATAGGTGCCAACCGGGCGATTAGAGCACGTGTAAATGCAAGCTGGCACGGTGCCCTGAGAAGGGAACGTTGAATTCCAAAGCAAGCTAGTCAACACACTATAACATTGGTCATTACAGAGACTCGCGCCGCGCTGAAGGAAGCGTAATAACCATTTCTGGAAGATTGTCCGGCTCCTGCGGGGAAGCTCGGCAACTCCTGCGGGGAAGCTCGGCACGTATCTTGGGCGCTTGGGGGACGTAGGTGCCCATCGCCGATGCCTTGTTGTTCACGAAGTGGTTGAACGCGTTCAAGGACGTGTAGGTTTCAAGTCGTTTTTAGGTATATAGACCAGGTGACTCAAATAGGTAGTCGTGAAGATGCGGCCACGATACCTTGGGCATGTTACATGATAATAAATTATTAGTTTGCTGGCGGTCCACAAGGAGGCGATGGTGCCATGCACGAACGGGTTTCCTGTGTCCCGGGAGAGGGGGCTCGCTCCACTGACCGCGTAGGAGCTAGGCAAGCGTCCCATCTCGGGGCCCACAGAGGTTGACTATAAGAAAGGGAAGCCGAGTGCCGATGACAGAGCGATGGACTGAGAGGTCAACGGGGAACTCGGTGTGTTAGGCTTGCTGCCCGGCCACGAGAACTCTGGAGAGCCCTCGCCCCTCGGTTCTCCGGCAGAGACGGCCGCCTTGTGTTAGCCTTCGGGCCGGCCACTCGGTTTGTCTAGTTGCCGGGCCAGGGCTGCGCCAGCAGTCTATAGGAAATGTCATTCTGTCGCCTTGTGTCCTTTTCCGAGATCAGATTTCTCGCTCCCTTGGGGAACAAGCTCTTTTCTTTTTTTCACTGAAGGGATGAGAAAGCCATGTCGGTCCCGTATAAGTAAATTTCAGAAGTTACTATAGTTAGTGTTCGCCGGTGGGCCTTTTTAAGTTCGCGGTACTCACTGCCGGTCCTCAAAACAAGCGAAAATAATAACCAATCGGAAGCAACATAGTGTCCCAGGAAGTTTGGTTTGTTTTTGTTTACCTCCGCACACCCTGTATAACTAGTAATTACTACTTAATGTTTAAACAAACAAAAACAAAGAAAAAACAATAGAAAATTAAAAATCAACATTCACAAGGTCAGAATACTTACAGATGTAAAGAGAAAAACTTGCGATTCTTTCCGAAATCTTCCGCATCTTCGATGGTCTGGCAGAGCGCATAGCCGCATGTCTCTGGAAGCCACGCCGAAGAGATCCCAGCAGTGGCCGCCAGCACACCAAGGAACAGGAACGGGATCCACATGCCGTACTTGCCCTACGTGACAGTGAGACATGATTAAATTGACCTTAGGCTGGTTCAAACACTTGCATTTGAGTGTGCTCGAGTGCGTGATGCTCTCCCCTGATTGCTTACCACAAGAAAGCACCAGAGAGCCTAACTTGAAGAGAGGCTCCACGTGAGATCACAAGGAGCGTGTTTAATTTAATGACAGACGCCTCCTTTTCAGAGACTGGTCACGAGTGCGCATGCGCTGCGTTGTCCCGTGGCGGGAGGGAAGCAGGCGGAAAGGTGGAGACGTTCGCCAACGACCAACGCTTTTGGCGCCTCCTCGCAGCTCGTATTGCCAGCGCGGCCCGTACACCACGTGACCTCCTCAATCAAGCAGTTGGCAACTCTCTCTGATACAAGCTCTCAGAAAACACAGTGGCGCGCTGACAAAGTCCAGCGAATAACCCTAGAACCAGTACGTATAATTGAGACTGGAGGTTTCGGAGTATTTGCGGGATAGAATATAGGTACCATCTATGAGACACGGCTGCTTATAACATTGTTCAAAATTGTTAAAGCCTATAGTGAATGAATGATTCACAAAAAGAAATTGGAAACATTTTCAAATCCCTACAGATGGCGCCAGTGTGTTCCCTCGTCGTAAGCGATAACGAGAGAGCACGATGCGCTTGGCGACACTCGAACGCAAGTGTGTGCACTAGCCTTTAGAGCTTGGAGACTGTTCAGAAAATTAGGACATATTTGGGACATTCTTCAGTTTTAAGTTTATGGTTTCAAAGTTTCCTTCAAGATTTTGAGATGTCCTAATGCAAACAAAGGAGTTATCATGCACTTTGTCACTGGGTTTGCATGAGTGGTCACGGACATGGTGATAAAAATACTTCAGGTGGTGTAACGCTGCGCCTTCGCCGAAGTGTCGGTGTGGCGAAGATCGACACGGGATTTTCTCTCTTGCTAGCAGGGCGCGCCACCAACGTCGAGGCCGTCCTTTCGTGAGCGGCAGCAGGCGGTAGCCTGCACGGGCTGCACCGCTGCGCAGTTTTCCGAAGTTATCATTTTTGCTTCTGGCCGGTTTTGGCTTCCGGATGTTGCCGGCAATGTGGAAGAAGTGCTTCGTGTCACCGTGCAACGCGGGATACAGAACGTGAACGGAGAAGCTGTCTATTTTTGTTACTTCCCAAGAAGAGGACCACTTAAAGGCATGGCGGGACGTGATATCGCGCAAAGACCGCGTGCTGCAGCCGACGAGACTCCGTCTGCGAGAGACATTGTGAGTCAAGGTTTCTGAGCAAATCGTGAAAGCCGTCTACAAGGCCCACGCACTCGTAATGTGCCCTGCGGGAACCTGCTCTGGCGAAAGACACATCGCCAACAATGTTTTCGAACTACACTCCCCCCCCCCCCCCCCTTACCCCCCCCTACCTGACGATCGGTGGAAGGAGGGCACTGACGACCCGCATGCCGTCAGTGCCCTCCTTTCACCGACCGGCAGGCACTATTTTTAATACATTCAGTATTCCGTCACCTGGAAGTGCATGAGTTGTGCACTATTACTTTACCGTTCGTCAAATCTTGTTTGTTCCTCAAACAAGAGGTCGTTACTTTCTGAATTACTTTAACAAAGTAGTTCTAGCTCAATAAAAAAAAAAAAAAATCAATAGATCGAAGCATATTTCTGGCGTGTCACTGCCTCATTGCGTTTATGCGCAGAAACTAATATTTAATGAGTTTTTTTTACTCCTGTCAGCAGGCCTACTTCAAGAGGGAGTTTTAGTATAGGTTTGGACCTAATGGGGGGGGGGGGGAGGGGGGGGGGGACGCGGTAGAAACAAGTAGCCCGCCACCCAAAATTACGTTTTATATTTTTATCCATTCGTGTGTAAGTGCGTTCCTCAGCACAAACTATTATATCATAAAAATATTGTCACGGGTGATGACGAATAAACAAGAAATAAACAGAAATAAATAAACGTTTAATGTGGCGAACTTGTGCCAAAAATAAAGAAGGAAACAGAAGAAAGCAGAGCGTCGCGGGCGTCGAAGTCGGCGTGTCAGCAGAGTCGAACGCTGGGGCGAAACTGACTCGACAAGGTCGCGGGCGGCCTCTTATCTAGAGTGCGCCGCTATCTCGAAGATTCGGCGAAAGCGGTTCGAGCGTCGCGTGATCGGGGCGAGAATGAACACGTACTTTCTAGAAAACAAAAGCAGGGATAAATGATAGAAGTTACGTGCGGTACATGAATAAACGGGAACTTTCTGGAGGACCGTGACCGAGCGTTTCTTTCTCAGCCTTGCGCGCGGCAATATGCGAATAACGCGTCTTTTTATTTTTTATTATTTAAAATTAGACTCGTTTGTACAACGGAGGGAAGCGATTTGCCTGCTGTGGAATCAGGATGTACTTAATAAGCAAATAACATACGGTTGCCACAAGAGAACCTCAGCGTCCCATCCCTCGCGATCAATTCTAAGTACTTCGCATGCCGGTAGTACGCTTCAATCCTAGGGCCTGCGCTATACATACTCTAACGTTTACCATATAACAGCTGCTCAATCTCAACAGCCCAGCAGGTACGAGTTTCTCGCTTTACAAAGAAAGAAAGCACGCGCAATATTCTAAAAATGACACCGGCCAGATGCCCTTGTTTTGAACGTACAGTGCTAATCATACTTGTCTATAACACGCGAGCGTGCGGCTTTCTCCGGGGAGCGCTAGACTGGTGGCATTCGCGGAAACTAAGCTAGTCACGTGGCGCAACATGGAACGACCCGCTCGAGGGGTGTCGTTCTGCCCACTCTATCAGCTGGCGGCGAACGGAGAAGGCTGCTCATACGCTTTTTACAAACATCATTGCTCAAACAATAAACGAACTAAAGCGTGAAGGCGTATCAACGATGTCGTCATCAAAAAACAAAAATATATCATAAAGTACTTTACTTTTATCGCTTATCAAGCTGATAGAGAGGGCAGGGCACCCCTCGAGCGGGCCGTTCCATGTTGCGCCACGTGACTAGCTTAACTTCCGCGAATGCTACCAGTCTAGCGCTACCCGGAAAAAGCCGCACGCAAGTGTGATTATCACTGTACGTTAAAAGCCATACATAGCATCAAGAATATCCACCGCCGCTTCAAAGTGCCATGTTTAACTGCCACGTTAAGTTTAGCAAGTGCTAAGCTTCACTGGAATATCTAGACCGTTGACTCCACGCGTAGCAGACGCCCTTCGTAGGCCTTGACGGCAGTGGCGCCGTCTGGTGGAGAGCATAAGAAACGGCTGACAAAAGTCGGACGCCTTAGGGGCCGGCGTTACTCTACCTGAACCTTCTTACACCATGGTCAGGGACCACTGGTTGAACATTAGTAGAACTGTTGTAGCCACCATACTCAATCGATTTTTTTTTCTAGAAGTCCATCGGGCAACATTGGCGGTCGCCATTGCATGGACACGAACCGCGTGATTGGATCCGACTCCTCACCGAACGGTGACGCAGCTCTCGTGTCTAAACCATGCTCGGAGGACGTGATCAAGCAATTGCGGACGGGCGTCGGCGCAGTCTTTTGAAAAGGGGCTATTGCGGCCAGAAGATGCACAAACACGCGCAAAATAACATTGGCTCAAACATTTACCCCAGTCTCAGTGATCGCAAACAGAACCAATCAGATACCTTCAGAGCAGCATGGCGTCCGTGGCTTCTGACCCGTTATACTATATTGACTTGCGCAGTTTTCATGAGGCGAGATTTAATATTTTACTATCTAGGTCCAAGATGTACATTAAACTGATCGGATATTTTCCTCTTACTATTGTATCTATAAAGCTCGCTTTGATATTGCCCATTTGTCATCTAACCTAACTTGACCTAACTTAGCTTAACCTACCTGAAGCTATCATAACCTAGCATCTATCCCAATTCGGTAATCAGTATGAAGTAGCTGTTTCGAGCCTTTTGAGCTCGACGTTGCTGGGCTAACTATCTTACATGCCCACCTCCGATTGCGAAGGTAATAGAATTGTCCATACTGGTGATAAACTTACTGGCAAGCAGTGTTCTATGCGTTTCCGGAGAACGAAGTATCGAAATACGTTACCCGTTACTTGCAAAATGAAAGACCGCGCTACCCAGATACGTTACCTCAAAATAAGAAAAAACGCATTACCGCTACCGTTGCGGATAAAAAGTAACGCACGTTATTTTTGCGTTAAATGTTTAGTTCTAAAATAACAGTAACAGCGGTTTTTTTTTGTTTTTTTTTTTGCGACAATATTTTTTGACGTTGGGACAAAGGGCGGTGGCGTGGTTTTTTTTCTAAAGAGAGTCTTTTTCGCGCGGAGAAAAAACAGTCAAAAGCTTGAAGGCAAGTAGAATGAGTGCAATGCTTACTGACTTTACTGCGATTCATCTTAAGTACGGACGCAGTCAACGCTACGAGCTAAATGAACTAATCAAGCAGTGTCAAGAGTGGAAATCACTGGGCCATTTTTACGCGTGTGATCGGTTCAGCGATAAAGAACACACTCCAGAAACATGAGGAACATTATGGTGGTGCCCTTTTGACGTTGTCCAATCGGTCCCATCAGTATAGAAACAAGAAAAAAAATGTAAGTGTACTTTTCGTCAGTTTTTGGAAAGAAGGTGTAGCGAGTAACGTAACAACATTTTCCGTTACTTGAAATGAGTAACGCAACTACGTTACCCGCTACTGTTTAAAAAAATGTGACGAGTTCGTTAGTACGTTACCGAAAAAAGTAACACGTTATCGGTAACGCAGTTACTTGTATGGCGTTGCAGCCGACACTGCCGGCAAGCAAAAACACAATGGAACATAATTTTTGTTTTCAGCTGTGTCTGCACTGGAGTTGGGTCTCACGCGAAGTCATTACGCTCTTATATGGAACTAACTATCGCGTCCTGGAGAAAGTGACCAAATTTGAAGAAATGGTTTGCCACTGAATGTACGACTCTCCCTAAATTTAAGCTGTCGCAGACGGCCAAACATCACAAACACAAGCAAAAAAAAAAAAAAAAAAAAAAGATCAGTGAGCAAATTTTTACTTACGAGATAGATAATGTAGGGCATGCAGATGCTAAAAGCCGAAGAAAAGGCCGACGATGCCCCGAGTGCAAACGATCGTAGCGGCGTGGGCATGAGTTCGGCAGCTTGCTGATACATGATCATGAAGGAAGCTGTGCAAGCAAACTTCGCGATGAGCGATGCTGTGACACCAGCCACGATGGCTCCTGAAATGACACAAAAAAAGGATGAGATGAATGATAGTACCTGCATATTTCTTTTCCCCGTTAACTTCCGAAGGAAAGTTCTCTCAATAAATTCCTTAAATAAGGTTAATGAAACACGAAAAAAAAAATTAGGGACAGTTCACTTTTATGTTTGAAGCCTGTATTATATTGATCATATCATTTGTGCCCGACTGGAGTACACGGCCCTCCCACGTTATGTGCCTCATGTATGTTTTTTAAAACGTTACCTTTCCAGGGGTCTCCTTGTGTTTGTCGAAATGTTTCGACTTATAAATAGAGTGAATTCCTGCGAGGGTAGTCTTTAAAATACATTTTAAGTTTTTGTTTTGTTGTGTCCATCGATAGAGTTTTATAGTCGGTGACAAGTTAAGGCTGAAGTGGAAGCTCCTTCCACCTTTTTCCGCCTTAAAGGAGCGAATGCTGGAAAGGGGACGATCCTCTCTCTCCAGCGTTCTCTCTGCTAAAGTGGAAAGATGTGGGAGGATCCTTCCACTTCACTCCTAACCTGTCACCGACTATAGGCTCAAGGCCGTATATAACTTTATTATTAATGAAGGGATAAGCTGTAATAAGCTAAATTACCAAAGGGAAGTATAACGATAAAATCAGAACGAGGAAGTACTGCAAATTTAGACTATTATAGATGGTGCTTCAGATGATTAAAACCTTATCGCTTTCCACTTTTTATACAAACCCCATTATTGAGCGTGTCTTATATTAAACAAATGAAAACTATGTCTGCGTTACACTCTATTTGAAAAAGACCAGAGTTAAATGAAGAGTAAAACTGAAAGTATAGCGAGATGTGATATAGACACGAAAGAGGACGTATTGTTCATGACGTGCTATTTCCTTAACGCTAATGAATGACCTGAAATCTGCAATATATAGCTGCCAGCTACGCAAACGAGAAAATTGTTCTTAGGTAATAAACGCACTTTTAGCCCAGTGCTTGCTATTATTAAGGCTGCATATGACGACGGCATACTAGATATTGAGCGTTATTTCGATATGGTGCTTTTAGCCGCTGCCACGACGAACCCAGGATTTCCTGTGCGGATTGTATGTCTTGGGGCTAACGATGTATTATGCCGCACAAAGCAAAGGAACAGAACATCGGGGGGCCAAATTATTGACTCACATTCCAGTAACAGTGCTTGTTCAGTATATTTGTGTTGTCGCTAAAGTAGAGCATTTATCTGGCCCCAAATGAACCCTTTTGGACGTGTGTCGCGAATTCGCTGCACACAAGTTCTATGCTTTTGTATACAGCCAATGCTCTGTTATACTCCAACGTCGAGCTTAGCAAACGCGGCGTGGCGCAGCGCACACAAACAGTGATTGGTCGCAGATATCGAGTTCCTCCTTGCCGGTCTGTGAAACACAAGCGCTCCGCCACTGCGCTGCGTTCGCTGCTTTACCTTCATCTGACTGACGCCGACTGGTGCGGAACCCGAACGTGCGCCATAACGAGGCGCACCTCGTGCCATCTATCGAAGGCCCGGTGTACTTCGGGCTAAATCAACTTTCGCTGGCGGACAGCGGTATTCAGCACTTGGCAAGCCGATTTTCAGCCGCCATCTCAGTGAAATTTAAGTGAAGATCGCGTTTTCAAATTGTTTCTAATATGCATGCTTCTATATCAAACTTCATGACCTACATTACTTCATTTATATTTTGAACATCGTGGCGAAGAGAAGTTCAACGCTCGCTTTGTCGCGAATTTGCGACTTTCGGCATTTAGTGGCGTGCGTATCGCGTTTTCTGCGTGTCGCGTTTTCTGCAGGATACATTTTCTGAAGTCAAAAAACTTGCTGTACCGGAAGTGGAGGTTTTTCTCCGGTTCCGTTCCACTTTGGCTCGTTTTTGTTTGCCGGGGGGAAAGCTACCCTCCGCTTCCGTCCTTGGGGACAGAGACCTGGGGCGTGCTCATCAAGTAGGTTTGGAGAGCCACTCACACGCTGCTGGCTGTCGTCAAGGCGTCCATTGTTGTTGTCGCTCCCAAAGCTCTCTCTCTCGAAAAAAAAGGAGGAGACGACAACGAGGAGGAAAGCTGAACTGTTTGTGTGGTTGATGTCCTCACTGAAAACGCGTGCGCCGGAAGTTCTACTCTCACCAAAAGTGTCCTGTTTTTTTGTTGTTGTTGTTCCGTAAGTGGCATCTGGTGTGTCTTGTGTGGACATCTCTTTTACGATGAGTAGAACTTGTAGCGCCATCACCCAATAAGTGCCACGAGCGGACGACGCTCTATTTCCTCTACTGGCTGCGCCTGTCGGGAGATGGCGCGACAAATTACAACTATTGCTAACTCGGTCGTCTGCGAACACGTTCGGCGTTAAGCCTCTTACGTTTATTGGTCTTCTTTGTAATGCGAAAGCATTAACTATGCCATGGACTGGGGCCGGTGGCGTGTGTAACCGGAAAAAAAAAGAGGAAAACGTGAATGAAATTCCCGTTCTCCCATTGGCTGAGCAAAACGGCTTCTAGGTACCCATTGGGCGTGTTCAGTAGCGCCTCCCTTACCTCCGAGCGGAGTGACTCGAATCAGAGCTTTTTGAATTTTCTCGCCGGAAATTGTCACCAGTCAGGAAATGACGTCATCTTTAGCTCCTTTGAGTCTACGTGCGTTGTCTCCACACTCGGTGCTTCGGAGCTTGACTCCGAAGCCCCGGAGGTACGTGCACCGGAAGGGACTTTTGGCCGTCCAGTAGAAGGAGTCAGTGACCCCTTGACTCCGGGGCTGCTACTAAACGCGCCCTTTGGCTTCCGCTTCACGAGAACGCGCGCTGGGCCGCCGGCTGCAACATCGGCAGTAGCAAAACCTGGCCGTCCACGCCAGTACACCCCAGACGAACAAAGGGAGCGGAAGGACGACATTCATGTTTTCGCATATACAATTCATAAGAACTGCCTAGGTGTCCTCAGAATGTTTTACAAAAAGAAAGTGAGCTACGCTTTGACATTTCTCAAGGAGGAGCACTACTAAAATACACCTTTGGTGAAAGTTCGAGCTTATCACGTGCAGGCGCTGATTTTTGCGGCTCGTCTTACATTGATAGTATCCCTCGTGGACGACCCGCACCTTAAAGCGGGGTACACCGTATCACTGACCCGATGGAATGAAACAAGATGCGACGCAGGCCATGCTGACGAGCAGCTGGTAACCGACGTTCGTCCACCGTCGGCCATAGTGCTCCATGGTCCACCAGGCCGCGAACGAAGCCGGAAATTCGACGAGTCCCAGCAGGAAGAAGTTGAGGAACTCGTTGCCGCTCATGTTGCTCACGTTGATGTGCAGGCCGTAGTAGGCACAGCCATTGGCCACCCTGTAACGCAGCGGAAGCGACATAAAAAATAAAATAAATTCCGAAGCGCTTTTTTCAGTATAATTTAAGAACGCGAGGTTTGGGTAAGTTAGCTCGACAGTAGAGTAACTGACGTAATAAGAACGACAGGAAGGGGCTTCATTCGTAGCGCTTCCAGCGCCAGCTTCCCACCTTCGATAACGCTTCAGGGTCTCATGAGCTTCGAGCGTGCACGCATGGCCAAAGCACGACGGAAGGCAAGGAGCGCGTGCTAAAGGCCTCGGATTCGAAAGAGCCAGACTCCCTGCCGTCCTCGTTCTTTCGGTGACAATAGTCGTTTTGTAGTTGGTTCCTAGTTGGTTTGATCGGTGATGCTGGCGCATTGTAGGCTGCCCGGCCACCGTAGAATCCTTGCAGTGACGTCACTTGATCGGACACATTGGTGGTTCGGGGGAGTGACAGTGTACCTCCTATTGCATTAACGGTTCGTTGCTGACTTCGATGAACAGTGTAAAAAAGCACCGTGTGCAAGCCACGTATAGCGTAGCTATTATAAGCGGTGCCCTTCCAAAGACAAGCTACTGGTGCGGACGGATCAAGAGCGGTAAGGTTTGTCCATCTCCGATTACTTCATTAAAACGATTGTTACTGACGGTTTAAGAAACGTGAGACGTGGTGAGCTCAGAGCACCTTATTATTAGCGCTCCGCAGTCAATACGACCGCGGTATTTTGCCGATAAGAACCCCGAAGAACAAATCGCGACGCAACAAATGTAAACATAACATAAGACGCCCTCCCTTTTTTCAGGTCTCAGTAACCATACAAGTAGCCCAGGAGCTACGATAAAACAATAGGAAAATATGGTGCGCAAACTGACGCCGTCCTAAGTTCAAAAGTTGTATTTTTCTTAAAGGGGACACTGAAGTCATTTTCTAAAGAGGTCGGCTTTGATCTTATATTGTTTAAAAGGTGTTAATTCTCGCAGATACCAAGTCCCTATATTACAAAACCGCCTATTCATCTCAGGGCAAGAGAAAAACCTGCGGACTCTTTTTTTCTCGCGGACTACATTGTGTGGACCAATGAAAGCCCTACAACACGCGCAGCTTCCGAAGAATCTTATTATACCTTTTTTCGAAGAGAGTGTGATAGGTACAGATTCAGATAAGACTCCTATTTTTCACCGCGCGTGAAGCCATTGCTTGCAACTCGCCGACAAGCGCCTTTCGTCGACCATTTCACTCGGTAGAAAATTCTTCCCAAAAAGGGCGTGTCGCGACCTTCGAACACGCTTTTAACGAGCAAATAAGCTACGCACGATTGCGATTTCAGATATGTTGGGATATTTAGAGCGTCTAGACTGAGTTGTCTCCAGAAAAGGACGATATCAGAATCGACTTCAGCGCCCCTTTAAGTTATTAATAACTGTCGAGAAAGTTGTAACTTTTATTTTTCGAGACAAACAGATTTAGTTCTTACGTCATGCCTCTCTGTACCAACCAAACGTTACAGCCTAATGTAACGTCTCGTTGTTAGGATGCGGTAATATTTGTGCAGTAGAAACCGAAATGCTGCTATTTTATTAAAGGTCAACGTATAAACCTGCTTCCCCGGTTGAAAAGACAGGATGAGAAACGGACGTGTTATGACTGACGCCAGAATAACTTATACTACTAGGAATCGAAGAGCGTTCTAATATGCTTTACTCTCGGCTACAATTAGTGTAGCTAGCTTTGGGACGTGACCTAATTTATACCTTGACGTGACCTTCGACTTTTCACCGTCCTTATGCCAAGTAGAAGCTTTGCTTGTAAAGCAGCCCAGATTTCTACGAGCTTCTCCCTTACTTTCCCGCGCTACATCAGCACACAAGTCAAGACAAGATCTCATCACTCCTGACATGCAAGCCGGGTCCACTGCGAGAATGGTACAACTTCTCAGTTAGTGGCATCAAGTTAAAGTTCTGGTATATGTCTGTGGTCCTACAACAGCCTTGTTAAATGAACCTGTTTTTTTCCTGGGCAATGTTATAAAAATAGCATTAGTTGTATTTACAAGTGATAGAGTAATTTCGTTGGGGTTACCACAGATATGCGACAATTTCTCCATTATTTTTGTTGCTATTGCGATGTGATGAGCGGGACCATCGTGGGACAAAAATTTGAGATATATCCTCGCCTTAATCACTATGTTTTGTGGATAACTCAAGCCATTCTTTAAACTACTTATATGGAAGGCACTGGTGCCTATCAAAACTTCATGACCATTGAATCATCATCGCGCTTATAGACACGAACAAGGTGGAAGAACAAGGCGACACAATCAGCGAACTTCAAAAGCTTGATCCTCAGAAGACACGAAAATATACCCTCTGCGTTATCGCGCCACTTAAACCTAGGGTGCCTACATGTTTCCGCTCCGCTTTAGGGTGGCGCACACTTCTTGTTACCCTTCCCCAGATCCTCTCCCACCGCCATTTTGACCCACTTCTTATTTGGCTAAACGTACACAAAGTTGAGTTTTCGTAGTTTCGACACACCGGCAACACTGTGAGGCCGCTTCCGTTTCCGTTCATAAGAGGAGTCGGACGAGTCGGAGGCTCAGCGGGATGGCGGTCGTCGTGGCTGTCGCTTTCTTTATTCGGGTGTTTCTTACTTTGAAGTGGCGAGCAGGAAGTATGCGTTGCGTTTATCGAAACGTGAGTCCCCTCGACAAAATGGAACGCAACAGACCGGCATCACACGCCGAAACCTCGCCGTCGGAACGAGCGGGGTGGGCGCTCCCTAGCCCTAACGAGGATTAGCGGAGCAGCGCGAGCGCACGACTGGCGAGTGTGACAAAATGGTCGACGAAACAGCGGAGGCTGCCATGGCAACGAGGTAGGCAACACCGGTTTGTCGGCAACAGGTATCACAAACGTTGTCGCCACCCTAAACAGCGGAGCGGCGGCAACATCTACCCTACTTAAACCGTCCCGTAACCCGCCGCTGCTCGCAAGAACTTTCTCTTCATCTGCCAGATCAATTGAAGCCATGCTGACAGATTGCGTTGTCTTATTCTTCCCCCTTGACCATGTCCATAATGCGACCATGTTTCCAAAGATTCAGCACCAACTCGCCTAAAAGTCAGCATTGATGAACCTGTTACGACTTTCATTGCGTTCACAAAGCACTGAGCTCTGCAAATTGCTCAATTACCTACCGTTAGCGCCGTAGTTACGCGTTTGTGATAATAAATAACACCGGCATGCAAAAAGAAGCTAGCCAAAATGTTTTCAGGGTGTATAATTATGCTGCAAATGTATAATACTTGACACTAATTCTGGTTTCTGTGTTAACAAAAGATCTTCTCTCTTAGCAGCCTATACGAATGGCGTGTTTTTGCAATTGGTTTACATAGCGGGATTTCGGAAAGGACACATTGCCACTGACCGCAGTCATTGTCCTTTTAAAAGAACGATGTTATCTTAAGCACTATCTTATTCTGAAATTCTTTAAGGAAAAATTACATAAAGCACTTTCGCTGTTCTCCGTTTCGCTATAAAGAAAACCTGCGATAATTTTCTGGTGTATTTTCAAATTTTCGCAAGAACAAATCTCTGATCGCATAGTATATATAATGCGTCAGAAACATTTACGGGCGAGGGAATTATATCTAGATTTAGGGATAACAAGTTTAGAAATGCAAGAGAAAACTGTTTCCGCATGACGTTCTTGGTGTTCACTCGATTTGTGGATCCCAGGAGCGAAGCAACCATTCGATCGAGGCTAGCAGTATAAATATTCATTTAGAGTACTTTCGACTTAGCATTTTGCGAAGCAGTGAAAAAGCAAAACAAAAGCCAGACGAACAAATTAATGACAAAGGACGCCAGGGATTGCATTTTTCGTTGTGTACTAGTTTTTTGCCTTATGTTTTCATTGTGTTTTCAGCTTCTCACAGCCTCGTAGAATGGCTTTTCTTTCACTGAACACAGTGCACTTGGAAAACCAAGAACTGCCATCTATGAAGTATTCTTGAACAAATGTTGTGAAACTGGGAATGATGCTATTGTCTTATGACTGACTTCCTAACATGTTTAGAGTCTTGATAAATAGAAACTCCTTGCGGTACCGTAACATAATCATCTGGTGGACTAGTTGGTTGAAAATTGTACCATATTGACCGGAAAGACGAGGGCTTGTCCTCATCTTTTACCGTTATATTTTACAGTGCTTCGGTATACGAAAGAAAGTTTAGGGAACGGTATGCCCATACATTTTAGGCATCTCACCAGCTCATGGTGACGATAAGAAGATGCCTTCGAATTCTAGTCTTCCTGAGCAGGTCTGCTGATGATGCTTCTGCGACGACCTTTTCTTCGGCAAGCTTGTGCTGTACTTTCTCTCGAATGAGGAAGAAAGAAAGATCAGAAACATACAATTAGGAAACGCCGCTAACGCAACCTGTGACGTAGCAAGCTTCCAAGCAAAATGTGATGTAATAAAAAATGACAGGGTTTTAACCCTGAGTTTATCATCGTTAGAATAAAAAGCAACAAAATTGAGTTATCTCAATGCATGATTACCTCCTGCATTCAAGCAGGTTTAATTTCCAATATATATTGTGTAATGCCCGTGGGCGTGCCAACTCCCGGTCATTCTATTATCACCATGAAGGCGATGCAATAGTCCCTTTTCGAAACAACGAAATAATGCATAGATTATGTGTGACTACCATTAGTTGGTCATGCATTGTGAGCACTCATTGGACACGAGCTCTTCGTCAGTATTCGGAGTGTACTCGGATCAAAACGCATTCCACAAGAGTGCTGCGTCAGTGCTCGGCTCGAACTCGGAACGAATCACGGGCTTCACGCCGAAAACGATGATATCGACAAAATGCGGCGATGCATAATCTATGCATCATTTCACTATGTCCGAAAGGGTCTGACGCCGAAGAACGAATCAAGGAACAAGAAACGTGAACAACAGTCAGCCACGCCCTGTGATTTTTATGCTGTCTCTGACCTCAATGCTTTTTGACGTGGGTTTGGTATAACGCCGATTTATAATGCCATATTGTTACGGTTTCAAAGTGAGGGATTGTTTACAGACATAACACTTCACAGCTTAAAATGGTAGGTTGCGGTCTGTGTGGATTATCACTTGATTCCTTGGAAACCAACATCCTATCTGCATTACTTGATAAGAGCGATCACAGGCTAATTACACATCCGTTAACTCTGTGTGAAATAAACTATACAAAGTGATTACAGTCACTTTGGTCTAGTGTGTACATTAAAAAAAGGTTTTACAGTTTACTTGGGGGCAAATGTTCATCTGTATCTTCAGGGCGTAAGACATGATATAGTATACCACAAAAATATTGCTGCAATAAAGAAAAACTGAAGAATTTAAAAAAAAATTTTGAACATTGAACATTTGAATGTAGACACCTTAAAGGAATTGTCCGGTCGAAACCGGAAGTTCTTGCGCTCGTTATGTTAAGGGAGCCTTCATATAGACAAACGTCATTTTAATTTTGATATATGATGTTCCAATACTAACTAAACCTTTCATGAGCGTGTGTACGGAACTGCACCCCGGATTTCCCCGGTGTCAATGGCTGAAATCCGTAGCTGCTGCGTGACGTAACATAACGCCAAGAATCGTCGGATGGTCGGGATAACAAGCGTTGGTCGATGGATCGATGTCTTGTGTTCTGTTTCGAATTATATTGTCTCCTGAAGTACGTTTCTTCTAATGCAGTTCCTAAACGTGTGCAAAAAAGTCGCGCCTTTTAGCAGGATATTACTCGTAGGCAGCCGTTAGGCTTCAAGCAAACGTATGCCGTTTCTCGCATACAAAACTGTGACGGCCACTGATCGGACAAGAAGCGCTTGCAAAAAGAAGGATGCAGATTTTGCCCATGAAGCGGCATCTGGGTCCCCCTATCGGCGGACACATTAGATCGGTGATACGTCTGCGGGTTTTGCCCCTGAAGGGCATCGCCCGCGGACATCGCCCTCAGGGTTACGCCCGCGGGTTTAAGGGAAACGGCGAATCGTTCAAAACGCACGTAACATTTCTAGATCATCACTTGACTTGGACGAGCTTGGTGAATCGTAGCGATGCTCCACTTTCTGAAGCTGGTCAAACAGAATAGGGCTGCAAGCGTGCTAAAGATAACTTTAGTCATTGATCCAACATGGCCTAGCTATAGGTTTTGGTTTCACTGCATAAGCGAACCGATTGATTTGATATGGGCGAGGAGCGAGTGGATGTAGCTGAATATCGTTGGCACAGCATCACACCTCAGCTTACGAGCCTTCTGTCCGCTTAGAGCTCAGCTCGTAGCTCTCTTTTTGTAAAATGATCGCTGCATAAGCGGGATCTTGACCTTAACGGGAATCCATTGCTTCCTACGCACGGCGACGATCTATTTTGCTCGTTGCTGCACGTCTCGTGGATCGCAGGTGGTGCCCGGTGGTTCTGGTACCCAGCCGTGCAACAAAAATTTCACTCATCCACGAAACAAGTTGAGTACAACAACAAAAATCAAGCACGCTGCGGCGTTCATTCGCAGGCAGAAGACGAGACGGGAACGCTCGCTTTGCGTTATGTGTCGTCAGAGCTTCAATGTTACCAACGAAAGCATCGTTTATTCTAATGCGATTGGAGCAGTTTAAAATTTGATTACTCATGCAGAGCTTGTTTTTGCCTCGAAACGATGCGTTTCGAGGCAAAAACAAGAATATTCAATTGTCTTCTCGAAAATTAAATTTGACCGGATTATCTCTTTAAGAATCATGTGTGTAAAGCTTTCGATTGAAGCGACGTCATTGCCACTCAGACTTTTGCTGTAGCTCTGCTCGCTGCTGCGCAATGAGCGCAGGAATGAAGCAGAGCAAACAGGAAACCTAAAAGTGTCACCATCGGCAGTGTCTGATGAGCCTTCCTTGCCTCTAAACTGGCCAACAGATGCCGAGGATGATGTCACGACGCCTTTGACAAATAACATGCGACAGAGAGGCTCCCCGCATGGCCCGCGGCCATCACAGCACGGTTATTTAAGATAAACGCGATTTACGCTAACTCGATGATCGCATTCAATAAGCAAAAATCTTTCGCTGTAATTTTTTTTTTTTTTTTCAAAGTGCTTTAGTTGTTGTTTTAGTTCGCCGAGTAGGGCAAAGTGCGTGTATGTACTAATATTGTTTTGCTGGCAATCTATCAATCATCTGGAAGTCACAACCCAGCGCAGATTAAACGGCAGGTTCATCTAGAAAATGTATAATAGTATTGCTGCTTACCAGGAGGTCAGATTCGAGGTCTTCAGGCAGTTTAACACCATTTCTCTTGGCGATACGCTCAAGAATTTTGAGTGTTTCCTTCACACGACCCTGGGAGAGCAGCCATCGCGGTGATTCGGGGATCAACCTAAGTGGCGAGAAGTAACAATCAAAATGAGTGTCGCGTGTGAAGGCTGCTGATCTATGTTTGACTGCAATCATTTGCGCTTAGGTCACTGGGAGAGCTTACGGCAAAGGAACACACTAACGCCATCTCTCAGGTAGCATAGAACCCCTTTGGTCTGGTTATAACTAGACTGAAAGTTTTGTAGCCATCGGAAAATTAAATATTTCATTATCTAAGAGAATTTGTCTTTTATAGCACTGTCAGGATTACTTTAATCTCAAACTGAAGGAGTAATGCGTAAAACATGCACAAACAAGAATCGTTCCAGGGCTATATCCCCTAGTCCTTTCTCGCGCTTATCATCTGGTCAAAAAAATGTTGAGTCACTGTCTGGTGACGCATGCGCCGCGTCTCATATACCGCACAGCTGAGCTACAGAGCATGTTCAGAAGGCGTTCCACAACAGACAAAGATGGCAGCGCGCAGGAGGCGATTTTTGGAAAGGTTTATAGATGACGCCGGTGTGTTATCTATAGTCGTAAATCTTTGCAAGTGGTTATGAAGCAGTCGATCAGTCAAGCGCATATCTGGGGACAAGGTTTAATAGGTAACTTGCTTAAAAAATAATAAAGCACGGTAACACTAGTGGAAAATATTTTAGACGCTTTCTTAAACTGTTTCACTTTTAAACCGGTAAAGTTTTACTGTCTTCTATAAAAATGTTACTTCAAGGGTGTTATGTAAGAATTAAGATTTATGTCGCTTCATATTGATGGTTGGACAAGGAGCATTTTTAACATTATATTACGATTGCAAAGGCAGTTAAATATAAAATAATTATTTTACGTGATTGACGATCAAAGCGAGGGTGGAACCGCCTAAAGCCACCCGATCCTGCGAAACTAGTGCCAAGCTCACCGTATGATCGCCATTTTGGTCCATGGAATGAGCAGTTTCTACTTGACCCGCCCACTTTCGGTTAGCCTATTGGAATTCGCGGTGAGAGGTGGCTTTATGAAGACAATTCTTCTATAGCGGCATATTATTATTCATACACCGACAAAACAAGCGCACATATTTGCCCATCCACTCCATAGGGCGTTAAGTGCTTGGCGGTATTGAAAAAATATTTTTCCTTCCTTGTACGAAGGCAAAAAAAAAAGAAGAAATTTGTGGATATTAGCTTGATTGTTAAGTTGATTGCAAACGCAGTGCCCAAGATGCTCATATTGACGAAAACACTTTCTGTACAATAGTGCTTTACAGATATTGTCACAAATGACAAGAGTAGAAGCGGCAAAATCCCGTTTCAAACTGAAGGTTTAATAATTAACGGGGGCAAACTTGTGCCAAAAACCAAACAGAAAACAACAGAGAACGAGCGTCGAGACAGCAGAAATGCCGGCGGTCATTTAGCGGCGTAACATTCATCCAAAGCGAGATTGACTCAACTAAGTCACGCTCAGCTCCTTATCTAGAGTGACTCAGCATCTGGAAAATTTGGCCCAGAAAGTTCGAGCGTTGAGCGTTCGCGGCTAGGATGAGCAGGAACTTTCCAGAACAAGAAAATATGACGAAATTATGAAAGTTACGTCCTGAATGAAAATGAACACAAATCTCCTACAATCTTGTGAATGGGTGTTGCTTACTCGGCCCCGCGCGCGGGAATATATATTGGAACGGCTGGTTCATAATTACCACCTCCAAGCTTAAAAGATCTAAAAGGACCAAAATGGCTATTGCCATAGCAACAGAGACCAATCAGCCAATCGCCTTGCAATATTTTGGCGGTTTGCATGTATGTGTCTAGTTATGTCCTGCTAGCAGGCCGGGAAGTCAATGGCGCTAGTTTCCAGTATAAAGTGACTTTAGAACCGTCCAGACGAATTTACTTTTTCGTTAATTTTGTAGACGCTCCAGGAAATTATTATTATAGTAATTACTCTAAATTACCAATTGCCTTTTATAAACACTGTTAGTGCGAACAAGTGATCGCCGGTGCTTCTTTTATTTCTCCCCCAGCTGAAAAGCTATCGCGAAAATGCTTAGTATGGTTGAATGTACTTATCCGGTGTATGAAGTTATGCGGTAAAATTTCATGTGCGCCAGTAACAAGCCGAACGCAAAAAAGCGCACAAGTTTAATTCGCGCTAACAGAGTCGCGCAGTGCACATTTAAAGGCCCATGCACATAAGTGCGTTTGAATGCGTTTGCACGGCCACTGGATCTGAAACGCAGAGGTGCGGCCCTCCAAATGCAGCATAAACGGCGAGACGCGCCTATTAACCCGGGCAACCACCGCGGTGCCGACGGTTTATGACAGCCAGAGCCGTAAATATAGAGAGTTTGGTCATTGGGAGGAGCCGGCAGGAGCCAGGGCTAAGTGCCGAAAGCGGTGCCTCCGACAGCGCCATATATTCCCCTGTGATAATCCCGCGAAGTAAAAAGAACCCAAGACGACCTTGAAGGAGACGCGTGCCGCAGCGCAGGTATTTTTTTTGTGTCTGAATGAGGCTGAAAGTACATGAATGAATAATTATAAGAGATTGATGGAGATAGGGAGTTTCAAGGGGCTGAGTGCTTACTGAGCCAGAAAAGTTGACACTGACTAGAAAAGTTCCCTCAAACATGAGGCGGAACTGCGAACATGGGGTGCGCGATCGGGGTTAAGGTCGAAATTCCCACGGAGGCGAGTCTACGGTTTTTACCGTCCATACACTCGATCGTCTGCGCCTGTACGCCGTGTGTCAGCTTACAAAACCACTAGCAATAGCAGCGTCCCTTTTTTTTCTTTGTGGCGATTTTGTAATACGTTTATTGTTGAACGAACATCTCGGAAGCCCATTGTGATAGCAACGTACACCTGTCATTCTTGTTTGTTTGTGCCCTGCCGAGATCGTCCCAAGATTGGACACCTTGACGCTGTCGCGGGCGCCGCCATGTTGTCGGGGATTTCGCTTGCTGTACACGTTTGCAAGTCTTTCCTGAGGACGCCGCCATGTTGCTCAGTTGGGATGCGCTTGGACGCGTCATAATCTGGTTATGAAGACTTGCTAAAGCGTCGTAGTCGGAATATGGCTGCTGCTAAGCGCACCCCAGCTGAAGAAGAGGGGGGTGCCCTGAGGCCTTGCTTGCAAACGTGTATTGACAAGCCACAAACCACGACAGCCCGTAGTTATTGGCTCTTGACTTCAGTCGACTGCCTTCCAACGAAAGTTTGTACACCGGATTTGTGGAAACGCTTTCCGGAACGTTCGGCGGCCTTCTGCCGCACCTGAACGCATCGGGCTGAAACGCAAATGTGTTTGCCTTTATGCGTCATGCGTGACTGAGTCTCACTTGAGGTAAAACATGTTGGGGATGGCGCAGGCCGAGCAAATCAGTCCCAGCAGAATCCAGGACCGGCACACGTAGGCTAGCAGGGGAAGGATGCAGAGGCCCACAGTCCACGCGATGCAGCAGACACCCAGCATCATTGTACGGTGCTTCGGCCCCACGAGCTCCAGGACTGCCCAATTGTAAAGAAAAGGTGGATTTAGAGGTACACCACATCTTCAGCCTGGGTGGATTCCTCTATTCTCCACTTATAGACACCAAGCGCTTAAAGGGAAACTCCGCCAATTTTTCTAGTGTCTTCGATTTGGCTGGAAATTGACAGACCAAATGAATGACCCTTTCTCAACTGATAGTTAAAATATTTTATAAAAATAAATATTTTCCGTGAAGTTGTTGAATTTTCAAGTTGCACCGGCCGCGAAGGTCCCAGAAGGCGACTCTCTATTGGCAGCTATGAAAAATCTCTACTTTTCCCTACCCACGTACGTCACCGGCGGGCAGGCGGACGAGCGACCCGAGGCAGTCGCGAAGTGGTTTTCCTGGGGCCAGCGATCCATATTATTTTTTTACAGCTTCAAGGTTAAAACTTCCCTTGCAGTGGGAAGCAATTTGTGATCCGTGATGGATTGTAGGAACAGTGCCGAAAAAAGCATCTTGCCAGCAGTGGAGGACAGCCAAGTCAAGTTGCTTTTGCGCGAGCTATGTGCCGAGAGACAGGGCGTCACGTGAAACATTCTCACTTATGCTCGGAACACTTTTTAGCCGCGTGCTGCGATTTGAGTATCCTTCTGCAGCAAGTACACCTTTAAGAGAGGCAAGGGCTGACTCAAGCCGGCTGTGACCACTACGGCATCCGTCCAAAGGCGAGCGCTACTAATATCGAGAAAAAGAGTGCACATTCCAGCACAATATTCGACATTTGGCGCAGTCACGTTTGTTGTACACAATTGCTTCACAAATTTTTTTTATATATATATATACATTACATTCGTTCTGGACATCGAATGTAGCTCGGGTCACTCTCGGAGTTCCACTCACGCGGCCGATCTGCTGAAGACGAAAAGTGAACTGTCTAAACAAAGTCTGAGTTTAGACATGACTTTCGACATATTGCTATTCGTGTCTGGTATTACAGAGGTTTATGGAACAGGTGTTGAGATCCATTAATATATGAAAAAGTCGGTGCCTGGTTTGTCAAGTGGTTGGCGTGCAATGTCGTCTCGCAGAAGAGGTGGTGAAAACATCTTTATTTTATTGTACTGTGGACAAAGAAGAAATGTTACATAGGACTGAAAAGCTCCTTAAAACCATAAAATATTAATGTCGTTGAGGGGAGGCATGCTCATTTACAGCTGATGAACACTATGCAAAACAAAGCTTAAAAAAAATCGTATATAGATTTACTTCCTTCCGACGTGCATTCACGGATGAGTGTTTGAGCGTCTTGTATTCTACTCTAGCAGTAAACAAGAAAAAGAAAGAAAGAAAAAAAAAAGAAATATTCGTACGAACATTTTTTGTAAATTTTGTTAACTTATATTGAATTAAAAAATTATAATGGATTTCTGTACTTTACGTTTTATTGTATATTCAAGAAAAAAATTCTTTATTCTAAGATGAATAGTGCAGTTGTGTATTTTATACGTCTTTCATTGCACCATGATTGGCGCGGTGGTTGCGGAGTTCTTTTAAATGGGATTTTAGCACGATCTCCATGAACAGTAAGTCACCAGCCATCTGGCCTACATGAATGCGGTTCATTCCATTCCATACAATTCTCTTTTTACAAGAATCACAGTCTAGACGTGGAAGGTCACAACCCACCACGCGCATGTTCGCCGCCTTGGAAGGCGAGCAAAGCACGCGCCACACGCACGAACGCTGAAAACGGCACCGACCAGAAGTGTTTTTCTGGAACGGTCTATCGATATTTTGCGAAATTAATGAAGCACCAAGGAACAGATGCATGTTAAAATAGTAGACGTGATGGCGTCTGTAACAGTAAATTTTCTAAAGAAAATGTAAAGCAAATGGCACTTTCCTTCAGATAATACAAGCGTGCGGGGTATCTGTACCCGGATTCCGAACATTCTCCGCGGTGCTTGGGTAATTTGTCAACGAATGTATTGCGTGACTCTTCGGCCTTTCTTCGCCAGTGCAACTGCCAGCTTCTGATAAAAGAATAACGGATTTGATAGCGATTTCACGAAACTAGCCAGCCGTGGCTTAAGCGTACCGAGTTGAAAAAACGATTATCTCAAAATTCCAGTTGCTTCCAGTTTTATGGCGCGTTCACACTGGAAGCGGACCCGCGTTCGGAAAGCGGATCCGCGCGTTCTCAACCGCAAAGCGGCTAGGATCGAGCAGTTGGAGCGCGTTTTTGCCAACCGCTTCGGGACCGATTTCTCCCAACCGCTTTCACGAACCGCAAAGCGGCAACCAATCACAACGCGACGCTGACGTGACGTCAGTGACTTTCGAAACAAGATGGCACCTGTCGGTGGTGAGGCGTCCAAGGCGCTGTAGTCCTAGCGCTGTAGTCTTAGCTTTCGACAAATCAACAGAGAAACTTGATGTTCACGTCCGTCACTTGAATTTGCCGCGAAAAGAATTCACTCGGTAATTTTAACGGGCTTCGCATCGGTGATTTGGTTTTGGTAAGAGTTTGTCGATTATTCCGGGTGCCACAGCCCAAGCTCGCTGCCTTGTTAATCTCTGCCTGTAGAATGTCAGAACCCGCCCCTGATCGACCGAAATGTCAGCTTTTCTACCCACTAGGACAGTTGCGTGAACAATTGAAATCTTTCGACACCGTGCATGATCACCACGAAGGCCGATAGAGACGTCGTGAGCTTGATTGCGTAGCCAACGCACCACCGCGGAGGGGGCAGGGTACCTGCGCTAGCTGGACCTGTAACGTTTACTACTTATAAAATAAATAAAGGGAACCTACTCAAGGAATAAAGTGTACGTACCAGACAATGCAGAGGTAATCGATACGGCGTTTATTTGAGCTTAATGCCAAACAAACAGTAGACTCGATCGGCGAGCGAGTGACGAGAGGAGAGTCCGCCACCAAGGAGGCTACGACCGGCTAGCACCGAACACATTCCCCCGCACCACGTTCCACACCATCGCTCACAACTTCGAAAATGATAAGAGCGAACATCAACGAGGGTGGAAAACTGGCCCTCTATCCCGAAAACAAGGTCAGCTATTCATGCGGGAAGGGTCCAGTTCGAAGAAAAGGTCGGGGGCATCCTGTTCTGAGTCAGCAAGGCGCGCCTAGCTGGGCTTTGCTTGTGGGCGAAGTCGAGGGAATCACAGGCGAGTTTGGCGGGTCCATGCTTCTTTTTTCGCTCCTTGAACTCGTGATGCGCGCGAACATCCCGGAGAAAAATATTCCGAGTGCCAAAATAGCGAAACTTTGGCTTTCGATCTTGAATTAAAGTGGATTTTGGATTGTAAAACAGGGTTGCCAAACGCAAGTCTCAAAAGATCAGGCGTGGTCGCCGAGAAACCGCCAACCGCCTCTCCGTGTGTCTGAACGGGGTCGCTCGCGAACCGCATCCGCTACCGCTTCGCGAACACGGATCCGCTTCCAGTGTGAATGCGCCATTAGAGCGCAGCTCATAGGCGCCTGTGTCCGGATTGAGCGGCGTCGGCGTCGGCGTCGGCGTCGCCGTCGCTGTTGCCGTCGGCGTAACCGTGAGGTCACGTGACCTTCCCAGGTCACGTGACCTGGGGGTCACGTGACCCCTAGTTCGCGCAGCCCCCGAGGTCACGCGACGTGACCCCCCCCCCCCCCCCCCCCCCGCTTCGAGATCACGTAACCCCCATGAGGGGAGGAGGAGAAAGGAGGGAAGCAGGGAGGATGAGCAGGGGGGACGAAGCCGAATTTTCATTACTCCGAAAAATGATTTTAAAAGACTTTTGTCTCTTGTCCCTCGGCCGGCCTCGAACCGGAGCCCTTTCGTTCAGGAGTAGCAGGCAGGATCACGAGGAAGGAGGAGGGAGGAGGAATATACGCTCCCCTCAGTACCCTTCGCTCCTCCTTCTCAAGAGCTGCGCTCTAATTCGGCGTTACAGAAAGTTGTAAACGGCTTTCATTTTTTTTTTTTTTACTTTCTCATAGTTCAGCGTGTAGGCACAGTTCGTACTTTGTGCAACTAGAGATTATTGCAGCACGAACGGCCCTGTTTTTTCGCTATTTGACGTGGGAAACGAGGGCGCGAGCGTACCCGATTGCCGCCCGCGCGTCTCGCTGCCTGCCGGTGATGTCACGTTGAGATGACGGGGAAGGCTACGGAAAAAACCGGGGAAAACGATGTAATGGTTTGGGCAGTGAACAAAATACCACTTTTTAAAATTAACTAGAATGAATGTAGAGGACCGAGATAGCATTTCGAAATCACGAAGCCATCCGCACTCAGATGATGTTTTTGAATTAAGTAGCTCAAAAATCGGCGAACTTCCCCTTTAAGAAACACGAGACTTGGCTTAATGCGTTCACCTTTTTTGCTTTTGATTTGTACATTGGCGACCACATCGGCGAATGCCGCAATCGAATTGACTGGGGAGCGGTAAAGTTCGGGAATCATCATGCCCTGCATTTTTTAAGTTATAACCCAAAGAAACTTAGGGAGAGCAGACTTGATCGCGCGGGAATGTCGGAGCACAGACCTCTGGTTTTAATGATTAGTGGAGGCCAGCTGCCTTTGTCAATACTCAGGTCTTCTAACGCATTCGAACGCTGGACATTAGTGTCCGGCGTTCGGCGTTTGTATCCGTTCGAAGATCGAGTAGAGACAAAGGTAACTAGCTTCCACCAATCCTTCCAACCAGAGCTCGGTCTTCCGACTTCCCCGCGCACCTTCGTCAACTCATCTCTCTCAATTTCTATTTTTATAGAAAGAAAATGCTAATGTATATTACATAACTAGCGACGGAATACATTACATACAAGAAAGCAGTGCAATTTTATTTATGAACAGCAATGTTAGAAGTCTCGCCGAAGTGCCCTGGATCGCGTTAGGTTAACCTTGACCCTTAAAAAAAAGCGTTGTTGCTGCTTACGTATGATATAGGGCAGCTGAAAAATCTGCGGCATGACGCTTGCGTTGAGAGCTCGCAGTGTGGCGAACGCTGTGAAGTTGGTGACCAGAATGGAAGAGAGCCCGGACAGCACAGCCACCACCACAGTCATGAAGAACGTGTACCTTCGACCGATCCTGAAATATGACGCCGGATTATACTTTTCTGTCATCTAAAAAACATCTGAGTAAGCATAATACGTAAAAAAATATAAAAAAGACGAGCTTCTAAAATTATTTACAAAAGACAGACACAAAAAACACGATAGTTACAGCCATTGTTTTCTTTTTATTTAACATTAGGAGCAGGCGTTTCACACTTTCTTAACAGCCGATAACCCCATAGACAATATAAGCTGAAACACCCGATCCGCCGGTCTACTGCGTTTCCGGTATCCACGCGCTCACTTGTTTATTGTTTTTCTCAAATAGTTCGAAGTATGAGACTTTAACTTCGGCTTCCTCTCCTAATTGGGTCCAAGGCTCTATTAAAAAAAATTGGTAGGTACGAAAGAAAAGCACAAAGAACCGTGTCAGCTCATATTGACCGCGGTAGCGCATATGAATAGGATCAGCATTATTTGATCGCAAAAGTCACAAATTCAGTGCCGGAAAATTGGGCTTATTCTAGAATTTCTGGAATAATCAATGTAAGAATAGCCAAGGTATCCTTGTACCTTTGATGAAAACTGACAATTGATGTTTTTTTTTAAATGTCGGGCAACGTGATGCGGGGGCGCGGGCTCCTTCTTTTGTAATCTCCGTCGGAGACAAAATTTACCACTCTAGAAAATACGAGCAAAGGTCCGTAGGCGGAAATAACCTTCTACAATGTTCGTTGAAGCTGTATTGCTTTGAAATTTATGTTCGCGTGAGCCAAACAAGTGTACACGGTGTCACAAAGAGAGGTCATTTAGCGAGCTAAACACAACAAAATGAGGAATAGTTATACCGAATTTGATACTCGAGCAAGAGGTTTTCAGGAAGGTATCCTTCTAACCGGCACCACACTCAATCCTTCGATTTTTTTAAAGGGTTAGCCACTGGCAGGAAATGTATGCTCTTATGTTACATATAAAATACAGGGTGTTTCACAACACGCTGGCCTAATTGCTCACGTGAAAAGTATGTACGAGCATAACAGATGTCGATGACATATTGGTCACGGCGAAAGTGTCAATTCAGGAAATTATTAACGTTGGCTATAATCAGGTGGTTAGCTGTTTTAAGTAGCTAAATTTTTAATTAGTAGATTAAAAGGTATTGAAAAGATGTGGGCATCATCGAAAACCACTAAATTAGTGCAGTTAAAAACAAAGTTAGCTAGGCACGTGCCACATTTTACCACGTAAAAAAGAAAACAACAAACCATTTGCACCTGTTCTTAGATTTCGGTTTTCTTTCACAGTACATCTATGCAGCAGCAAACCCGTTCCCCATGACCAATACCTGCAACCACGACTTCGCTTTTTCAGTAGCAGAGAAGGAAGTGCGGCACAAGCTGGTGAAATGCAACGCTGTGCTGTTCGAATGATATTGCAAGAATAAGCTTCGATTCTTGTGTTCACTCCCGTAACATGAAGACAAATTTGCGACGGCGCGCTTGGGGTCTTTGTGCATGGGGAGCAGGTTTTCGTGATAAACGAAAAGCATAAAAAGCGGTCTAAGTGAGCATTGTTTTTATGAACGCTGTATAATGGTTTGCGTGCCTTATATTTTTGTAAATTGCGATGGTTGAGTGGTCTTTGATGATGCCCTGAAAGTTTCTAGTGAAGACCATACTTTTGAATTGATGTACTAGAAATTTAATTGCTCAAAATGTTTAAGACCCTAATTATACAAAAGGTCAATAATAAATATTCCATTCCAAGAATACCACGATGGCATTAATCTTTTTCTTTTTTTTTTTGCGCGGTATGTACTTTTCGTGGGAGCGATTTGGCAAGCGTTCCGGAAATTAGGCGCCAATGACACTGAAGCGAAGCCTTAAATGCTGTATACGAGGAGTAAAAAAATACTGCAGAGTATGCTCTTTGACTCCGGGTTGAAAGGACTACGTAGAATATTTAGTTACAGACCAACTCAAGCCCTCAGAGTCAGTTTGTCGTCTTAGCTTTTTTACAGAGGTATACGTGACAAAATCTAGACTTCATGAACCCCGACTCGTTTAGTTTACTGCTCATGTGAAATACCAGACGTCGTAACATGACTGCAGAGTTATTGCATTAACATTGGGTTGAAAAAATTGATTTTTTTATATTCACAAAATAAACAAAGGGTTAAAAATATTCGAAGCAGACCAGGCACGTTTTTCTGCTCGGATTCACATCAACGTGCTCAATAATATACGTCTTCAAAATTCGCTTAAAAAAAGAATAAATATTGTGCTTAAGACATCTTAATCGTAGTGATAATATTACAATTAGAGTTTTATTCTTAATATACATATACTATATATATATATAAACGGACATACATTGCTCGTTTATGTTTTGAGGACTTGGTGTGATCCGGAAATCTTAATTTTATTTTGGCAATTTAGGCCCCAAATTTTAATGCATTTATCTGCCTTCCATACAGCTGTATCGCCTCTTTCAACGTAGTTTTGTCATTTATGTTTTCCTTCGTGTATTTTGTTGCTAAACACAGATTGCTACACAGGTCGGACTGAAATAACGTCAATCAAGAAGTTCGCCATCTTATCACTATTTTACAGCATCAATTGCTAGGTCAATGATAATGGTAGGATAGAGGGTTGCGGCAGAGATGAATTTAATACGAGAATATTGAAGCGATAATAATACACATCAGAACCGAGCTCTCGAAACTGTAGCAAACAGCACTGAAACGTAAAGCGTTGACGACAACATTGTCATTTAGAAAGAAGAATACAGTGGAGGTGAGTTGAATTACAATTTGGACATTCAACCTTGTAGGAAGCCCACACTGTTTTATCTATTATAGACTTGATTATTACGAAAAAAGAAGAAAGACCAAAGAGCAACAAACTAGGGTCAGTGCTCGAGCTTAAATAGTAGAGTCAAGAAAGATTTAGATAATGGTTAGCGCAAACGAAAATTCCCGAACACTATCAGTGACAATCGTTGTAATTTTTGAGCAAAGTTAGCTTTGAGAACGCAGAGCATATATGCATAAGAGGTCGAGCAGTTCTAATTTGGAACTTCCCTCGTTTATTTTTCATTAACACACGTTCCTTTAACATACGTCGGAGCCCAATCGACGGTAGGTACCGTTGGGCCAATCGAACAATGCCGAAAGCGTCACGTCACTGCGAGTGATATTTTTCTGCGGGTATGGTATTACGTACCCTTAAGACCTTTGCAAAAAGTCTTCTTCTGCGCGCTGCCATCTTTGTTTGCTCGGCTGTGAAACGCCTTCTGTCCATTTGTTTATATTCTAGCCTTTTACTGCGGTCTGACCTAAGGTAAAACCAAAAGTTACTTAGGAACAAAAACTTCGTTTAGAAAGTTGATGATAAACTGAGATCTTCTATGTTTAGACTGAGGCTAGACCAAGACACAATCCTTCGCTGTCGGCGTTCTCTTAAAGTCAGATAAAGTATTGAACCCCTGCATAAAAACGTTATCTCCAGTCACAAAACAATGCGACCTATATAATGTTTACATACCTGTCCGACAGCGTGCCGAATAATACTGTCCCCACGGCACTGCCAACACTGCTTAGCGTGAAGACAAGACTGGGCAAGTGAGCCTTGTCGCATACCAGGTTCCACTGAAACAGAAAGTTTGAAACGCTAAATAAACACTCACTTTACTTTCTGATCACTTGACGGATGCAATCATTTATTAGAGTAACACTTTTTTTTTTGTTGGACCCAGAATCTCACGCTTGAAAAAGGCGTCAGGAGGAAACCAAGCCTTAGACACGGCATCTTGTCAGTATTACTCTCAACACTTTTTGAAATATTTTCACCCATTACAATTACCACTTTATGTGTAAGAAAACAGTCCAGGTTACCTGTGTTGATGCAGTGCTCTCGTAGTTTGTCTTGTCGTAGGTAAACTGCGTGCAGGGTATCCTTTCAAGACCTGGCACTTGTAGCCTTGTCCAGTTTTCATCGCCAGCGTGATCCAGATACGTTTGCACAGCACTGGCGTTGAACGCGGAGAGCGGATACACCTCACAGTTGTCCTTGCTGACAAGGAGGTCATGTAGTAGCTCGGGGTCGCCCCCCGTAAGGTTGAACACTTCTCCCAAGTCTGGCAACAGGCAGGAGTGCTGAGGCACGGACAGCATGAAGATTTGGTTCATAAAGTATCCAGGCATCAAGAGCGATGCGGGTGCCAGGTAGACCCAAACCAGTATTTTCTGGAACTTGCCGTAACCGCCGGCCTTCTCGATGACGTCTTCGAATTCCATGCTGGCACCTCAGGTTGCACCTTTAGGACGAAGAATCGAAGTGCGAGTGAGAGACCACGAGGAAGCAAACGAGCGAATGCAGATTGAGGTGAACTGGTCGGCGTGTTACGGTGCTCAAGTTGCTAGAGGCAAGAATAACAGTAAGGACCACGTTATCTTACGGAGTCGCCTGTCCAGATTGGAGCTATCGCGTGGTCTTATCAGGTGCGCAGCAGCCTAAAGAGCTGAACGAGCAGACTTCGGCTCAAGAGGCTTCGCATCCTATAGATGTAGCCGTGTGTGCAGCTTGGTTATTAGTGAGAGAGCTAAGGTGTTTTTAGGCCCACTTTACACTCTGATATAATGACGTATTTATGTTGCTTATCAGCGTGCGGTTGTTGGTTGCTGTTGTACGTATATGCCACCCTTTTAAGTCTTCTTGAAGATAGGTAATGCCAACAAATGCATAAGAAGGAAAGGGCACATGGATTCTGTTATCTTTTCTCCCCTTCCCTCTGTCTTTTTTTCTGAATTTATTTTGGTTAGTTTGTCCAGACAAGTTAGATGGACTAATACCTGAGACTTATACTTAATTCCTATCACTGATATTTTCACCACGGAGTATTCTTTAAACATCGACTTAATACGAATTCATTTCTGACAAGTATACAGACACACACAGACACAGACACACACACACACACACACACACACACACACACACACACACACACACACACACACACACACACACACACACACACACACACACACACACACACACACACACACACACACACACACACACACACACACACACACACACACACACACACACACACACACACACACACACACACACACACACACACACACACACACACACACACACACACACACATCCTGACCTTCCTTGTGTTGAGGTTCATGTTAACTGGCTTCGTACAGTTGTGTAAACAAAATTGAAGACGCCATTTAAACGTGCCAAAAAACCGTTAATAACCATATTCTGCGCATGATGTTCCAGATTATGTAAAAAAAGTTCGTTTGTTGTCAACAGAGTACATTTTGATTGCATGCCAAAATATAAATTACAACCCTTAACACTATACTTTTCAGCCTAAATCCAGAAGCAGCGCTGACGAGCTAATGGGACCAATCAAGCTGCCTCAAAAGCGCAAGTTACTGTGCCTTTTATATTTACGATTTGTTCAGCGATGATAGAACACGTACCATGATGGTGTCTTTTTGACGCTGTCTGATTTGTCCCATCAGCACGTAGCGTGGGCTGCGTCTGGACTTATTGGTGCACTGACACCACAAAGGTCGCATTTTTCCATTTTTCGTTGTTGTCTATAGGCAACCGGCAACGGCCAGGCGGCGCCAGCAGGGCGAGAGCGCACGGTTATACCCCGTCTCGTTGTAACTTGGGAAACGGCGAACGATAAGCCCCACACTGCGTGCCGAAGGCTTGGAAATGCGCGACGTATACGAGCGCAACGCACACATATTGGAGCATGACGCAGCGAAAAGTCTGATACTTCTTCAAAGTTGAGCCGCATTCCGGTGATACGCAGTCACGTTCCGATTGGCCCGCCCGGGCCGTAGCTTCCGTTCTACTGGCACGTTACGCGATCACGGCTTCCTGGGATACTGAGTATTTCTTGCTTCAGACACTAGGCTCAGCGGCGCCACCAGAGTAATAGCTCACGTTTGAACAATGCAGCCGCCACTCCCAGGGGTACCCAATATTCCTTGCTTCAGTCGCTAGATGACGCCAAACCAAACAGCATTGCAGGTTGGCTATAACGATGCAAATTGTAGTCATAGACAAAAAAAAAAAAAATGCAACAACGCAAAAAAAAAAAAAAAAAAACTTTTTCCCCCGCATGGATGTGAGCCTTGTTATTTTTGGCGTTTTTTCCCCCTCTTTTCACCCCCTCGTTTTGTAAGCGAAATCTCCATAATATTTATAAAGGCATTCGTAAAATATGTTTTTGAATTCAATTGCGAACGCACTACGGCCCTTCTTTCTGAAATAGCGAAAATTGGATTCCGGAGCGATGTCGCCACCTGGCTTTTTATCCTCCCTCGGAAAACATGGCGGCTCCTGCGGCGCTCTGTACATGCAGCACCAGCAGCGTAGACTTTCCATCTTCCCGGGGGTGGGGCTTGGCTTTTCCGCGCAATTTTTCTACAGCGGCAATTATCAGTAGTTTATTTTAGGGGGCACATTTTACAGCGTATTTATATCGCCATGTGTTCGTCGCTGTGTGCGTTATTTTGTTTGTCACTACTAGAAGCTCGTTACATGGCATGTAAAGAGCGTCTTGGTAAGGATCATGACCCTCAGAGCCCCCCCCCCCCCCCCCCCCCCCCCCCCTTTTGGATTTTACCAGGGGTGGGCACGAGCCCCGATGCACCCCCGTAGTTACGCCTATGTGTAACACTGAGGATGATCGGCGAGTCGGGGAATCCGACCAAGTTCTCTTTTTTAGGTGCCCGACGACCCCTCAGGCTTCCAAAAGGAAGTCATCACCCGGTAAAAACAACTGGGTTTGGTGTCTGTGTACCACTATTTCGGTTGTGACCGCGCTGGGGCAGCCTTTCACGCAGAACCGTCTCGACCTGGCCCCTTATGTCGCTCGCAAAAGCCCACTGCGCGTTCTCTTCAACCTCACACCTTTTCAAAGAATTTGAGTTCGAAGAATTGCCCTAAAAGAACTTTAAACTGGAAAGTGAGGCTCCGTCTGCTCGCAGCGATAGGCGGCAGGCACGGAGAAGAGAATTTGATCGCGGGATGTGGGCGAACCCGACACTTCGGGTCGGGATAGTTCGGAGGCGTGAGAGAAACCGATTTGCAGGACGACTCAATCTTTGACGTCACTGCTTGGTGCGGATCGCGCGGGAACTTCAAATTCGGCTGCGGGAAATTGTTTTTTTACTTCATAAGCACTGCCTTTCCAAGTTCCAAATTTTGAGGGTAATTTCTGGACATCGTTTTCAATCGTTTCGGATAATAATAATAATAATAATAATAATAATAATAATAATAATAATAATAATAATAATAATAATAAAAGATTGTTACCTATCAGTGGCTCTTTAAGGTGAAACAAAGTATAAAAGTATGAGCTTCACAGTAATCTTTTTTTTATCTCTCTGAATTTCACATCTAAAAAGAGAATAATAAACCCGCCATTAAGCTTCTAAGTTATGTAATATATGAAATTGAAATGGAAAGAAAAACTAGAAATGGGAAAGTGTCATGATGTACAAAGTGAAACACAAAGCTGGCGAGGGCAGCTGTGACCTTAAGTTATGATTGTCAGTGTAGTGAATGTGACCCAATCATTTCATTAACTGTTATTATCGCACTTGTATTAAACCCCGATTCTATTCTATAGCTTAACATGGTGCGCGACCCTATTGAGTTTATTTGAGTTATAATTTGTACGCGTTGTTTTTGTTTCAGAGATATGCCGATCATGTCAACGTAAGAGGAGGCCTCTTACGTCGACATAACCGGCACATCCCTCGAAGTTCCGAAGAAACAGCTGAGTTCACACGCATCAGGGCCCGATCCGCATAGTTGCATAGCGTAACAACTTGCATGGCGTGCGGTGTCTAGCAGCGGAACAAAATATGAGGCAGAGTGGTTTCAAGGTTTTCTGCACGAAAATTGTCGGTTTATTCAGTGGCGACTGGCGATTCGTTTGAGTACACCTGTGGCATGGCTCACAGAAACGAAGCTCCAAATTCTACCATGAAATATAATAAAATCATGTGATTGAAGATCAGTGCAAACTTCATTGTTGGTAGGTAGCCCACATATATCATATTAAGATAAAAAAAGAAACAGCAGAGTGTACAAGTGATAAAACAGATCGCTACAACTAATAACAAGACAAATTTTCTAGCAAGAGAGGAAGGCCAAACAGCGCATGTCTTTTGTTTGTGAAATTGTACAGTGCATAATACGTGATATTTTCAGGCTGCCGAGGTTTCTGCATTTTTTAGGGTCTCTTAATGGCTCGTGCAGTTCCATTTCATTTTTTTTTTAAGAAAAGGGGGGGGGGGGTGCATATGAACTATACAAAAAAAAAAAAAAAAACGCACCGTTGTGCCAAAATATGTGTTGTTCCGAAACATGCGGGTTCTGTAAGATGTAAGAAGTGCTCATGACTTTCCTACGGCAAAGCATTCGATGTAATGGTGTTGGTGTTATATCATCGACAAACCTTCGAGACGTGTCATCTTACGGGGCCGTGGGTGTTGTCCGCTGCCAGAGTGAACAACGTCCATCGAGATTAGTTTGGTACCATGAGGCCAAAGATAACCTAACCACACGCGCAGGAATATACATATTTCCTCCGACTGCTGCCAAACGAGATGTGATGCGATATCATTTAGCATCCTTTGCCCGTTTCAGACGTCCGTCGAGCCCCGCGCTCTCGGTCTGGAAATTAATTATAATTTTAAACCAATTCAGTTTTTTCCTAAGTTAAGCGGAGGGATCGGAATGATTTATAACTGCGAACGAACTCAAAAATTTCCGGCTAGATTGATACCTAAAATTAATTGGAAAATAATGATCCGCCAATTTGGATTTTGTCACTAAATATTGACACCGTGTCGGGGCAGAGGGACGCCCACATGCATAGTGTTTGGTGGATCTAGGAATTGTATCGCATTTAAAACTAGAAATTCACCGGGCATATTACGGTTTACTTCTACTATACCTGCCTAGAAACCTCTGCTATGCCCTTCTGCCCTGACAGTGGCGACATCGTGATATTACTCCAGAATAAAACTTGATAGTATTGAAAGGGGAGCGGAGCAACGACTTCATTTTGGTGGTATACAAAGTCACTGACGGCTTAAAAGAAACACAGGGCATGAAGACTCCCGAACAACTTATCGTATCTCCACTGCCAGTGGCATTACGACAATAAAGAGTTTTTGTAGCTCATTCCGATACCTCCGGTACCTAAATCCGGTAGTCCGCCCACGGCTTTTCGCATGCATCATATCGATATCGAAGGTATTGGAACGATCCACTAAAACTCCCCATTAGCCGATAAGAAAGGCAAAATGGAAGTGTGGCAAATGGTAATATATATACATATATATATATATATATATATGTACGTATGTTTGCGCAACACCCTGCGAAAGATTTATATCGCGGTAGGTTATCGAGGCACTTAGCTTTATAACCTTCGGACGACTCCAGGGAAATCTCAGGATAGGTCAAGAAGGCGCGCTGAGCTTTTGTGACGACG